CACCATGTTTCCGGGGCAAACTTTTTGAGCAAAATGTGATTAAATCCATTTGAGTCTGGAGACAAAATGTCTTTTTTTTTATTGAACCCCACCGCTGTAGTAGGGATGACTGTGCTACACTATGGCATACCTTTAAATCATATATTCAGTGGAAGGGATACACCGCATAATTTTATGGTAAGGATCAGTACAAATGAAAGCCGGATTTCCTCGAACATACTTGTGTATCAGCCAAATTTTAAGCGTGAACAAAACCAACCTGAGCGAGAAAAGCCTGATCCTACAAAAAAACTTCTAATCAGATGCATGATTGTAGTGGTTATGAAGGTTGTAGTTGCAATACTACACTGATTTGTCGGCTAGAAGGTTGATAAATGATCAATGACTACAGCAACTACAACTGATTCATTTCGGATTAATGAACAACAAGCTCGGAAGGTGGACGTTTAATGTCACGATATCTCGGGTTATAGCAAGACTGAATATCTTAGCTCAACACATCCGCAATATTAGGTTCTATAAGGTTTCCCTCAGGTTCTTGCCGAGCTTTCATAAGGTTTTCGTGGTTCTCCCTAAATTTCTTACTTTTTACTAGCCCTACTCTTATAGCATGCTTGGAGTTAATTATTACTAACTACCACTAATACCAACTATTTAAGGCTCCGAGGGAGGCGATTGCTCCGAAAAGTTAGCCGATTAAAGNAGATACCAATCTCGGTGGCAGAAGCAAAAGGAGGCTTAAATAAAATTTATAGGCCTACAAAAATTTAAAATTGAACATGACGTAGCATGTGGAACCTTTTATTGGTCCCATGAGTCAAAACAATAGACCCCTCTCGCTTATGGTTCCAGTCATCAACACTAAGCATTTTATGCATTTAGTTAGCTGGCATTTCAGTCAGCTTGGCCTCCTATGTTCAGTAGGCTCTCATCAGGTATGCCAATTATACAGGGTGGCTACTAAATATTGGCGCATGGTTTATTGACCATATTTTTGCAAAGAGAAACTATTACATATTCAGAAGTTTATTTTTATATACAGTAAAACATATCATGCATCACTGAAGAAGGTGCTCGAAATGGCCTCCCTCGGCAGTGATACAGGCTTCAAGTCTCTTCTCAACTGACATCACCGTGGGCCGCAAGTAAGTGACGTCAACGTGACGCGAGAAGATCATCACACTGGAATTTGGCGCACATTCTCAAAAGGACAGGCAATTGTTGGATCCGGCTAGCAGGCATCCTGCTCGACGTCGTGCGCACACAAGGAGCCGATTTCCAAAATCTGTCATGATTTAGGCAGGAATTACTTCCGACACCGAGACACCGTTGTCTTTGTGGACAAATCCGTCAAAATTAACGCCCAGATCTACCAGGAAACAATTTTACGTGATGTGCTCGTTCCATGGACTGTTTCGACCTCCAGCAAATGTCAGTGCCTTCTTCAGCAAGACTAGGCTCCTCCCCATGCCGCAAAATCTACGCTGGTGTTCTGTGACCGCCATTTTCCAGGTTACTGGTCACCAGATGTTGTTTGGCCATCTAACTCACCCGATTGTACCCAATGGATTTTGCGGTGTGGGGCTTCCTGCAGCAGAAGATGCCTTCTAGGCAACATCGAAGTTTGGACTTCCTGAAGGCTTCCTAGGAGGAAGCGTTGAAGTAACTCGACGAAAACTGCTTGCGGCCCACGGTGATGTCAGTTGAGAAGAGACTTGAAGCCTGTATCGCCGCCGGAGGACTTCTTTCCGAGCATCTTCTCTAGTAATGAATTGTTATGTTCTACTGTATATAAAGATAAACCTCTGAAGATTTAATAGATTCTCTTTTTGGAAATATGGTCAATTAAACCATGCGCCAATATTTAGTAGCCACCCTGTAGTGTAAAATTTGCTGCGCTTTGTTCATCTTTCACGAATCTCTTTTGAGAGTGATACTCCATAACAAAAGTAATAGTTGAAAGTAAAACAAAGGTATTCGTATGAGTGAAGCATATTTTAGCTCTATCCCGAAGGTTGTATAAGAATGGTAAAAAAAAATGCCATTATTTTACCAGATTAGTCCCCCGTCAACCGCCGGGACCTTCCTTTCCTGCGCAAGCTTTCTATCCTCCGCTATGGTCCCTTCCTCCTGTGACACCAACACCTCCTGGAAGTGACGCGTATGCAACACAATGGTGTTTCATACAGTAGAAGGGACACAATCATGATATGACGGTAGATTTTTCGCTTCCCTTCCTCATCCTCCCTTCCTCTCCACTGCCCTCCAGCTGCCACTGCAGCACCATGTGGAATGAACGGAAGTGTGCTAAGCAGGTGTTTATATAGCCCTAAGAGTGTTATCACAACTATCCTGCTACAAAACATTGATATCTCAAATCCTGTAAGCTACCCGATTTGTTAGCGGTTTGTTTATCCCATGAGCTTCCTTCTCACTCACTTCATTTTGCGGACGGACACACATACATACATACACACACACACACACACTCACACACACACATACAGATACACAAACCGACACACAAAGTTAGCGCTTTATATAAAATAGAAGGATATCTAGATTCAGCTTAGCACAAGAAGGCTCACAATTACCTGATACTCGCCCGGAAATGTGAATGTCCTAATAGCCAACTGTTGCTTATGCGAAAACAAAGCGAGCAAAATGGTCAAAAGTAGAGAAAGGCACACTCGTACCGCCGTTTCTTCCAAAATCTGGACGAGTTTACCATAGGCATTGACGCTCAAGGGATTCCTTGAAGATACGGCCATCTTGCTTTATGATCATTGCAAGAAGAACGAAAAATAAACTCGCTCGCTTTGATACAAATACAAGCAATCAGGGAGATCATACGGAATGAATTCTCGCCGTAAAACTGCCACTGTTGGCGTTGTGGAGCCATCACGTAAACACGAGTTGGAAGCCTAAATGTTGAAGAATTCTATATAAAAACTCTCCAGAGTTACAACCTGCGCTCGCCAGCCAGTACACTTCGTCACAAACGCACTTCTCCTACCCCCACTGGGCAGATGCAGTCAAACAGGATGAAAGGACGCTCTTGCGGACGATTCTTTGAGTGCACGTTAAATGCCTTCTTGTTGGAGTGCGTCGCTTTAGCTATTTAGTGGATGTGCTATTTTGTACTGAGCAATACTACACAAGTGCGCATCACCATAAGATAACCTTTCAGCATAGCTGGAAAAAGTCCTCCTCTCCACTTCTAAAACGGCCTGAATATAGCTTATCAACTTACTAGAAGAAAACTATACAATAGTCTTCTACACTGACGGCATCGGAAGATTGTGCGTGGAAATCAGAACATAATGCATGGTGCAAGCTCAACGAGGTCGTTGACGGATCGTGGGCCGTAGCGACCTTCTGTGGAACGCTAAGCCGTCTTACACATTCAAGGACTTCCTCTAGCTAGCAGCCAGATAAATCAATTGGAGAGTTTATGTAGCAGCTCCAGGCTGGAACTATCACGGTAAGGCTCGTTGAGCTTGACGGTGATGGCAGATGACGTCGTATTCTAAACACAAAGAGGGCAGTGAAAAGGGCCATCTTCTGCTTTCAAGAGCAGAAAAATATCTAGGAGTATTAACGCGGCACATTGCGCACATGAAAGATGGTGGATGCGCGCGAGGACTCTGCCCCCCCCGCGCATTCTGCTTGAAAACAGTCTTTTGATCATTACTTTTAGTCGCATAAGACCTATTCGGCCCATGTCTCGCTGAAGGAGAACTGCTAAAGTTCCTGCCACCATGCAATAGGAAAATATTGACAATCCTAAATGTTCCAAACTGGCATTCGTGCAAGGCCTTCACGCGAGTCGTAATAGCACATTTCCACAGATGCTTGGGTTATTAACAAACTTACCGAAACAAAATATGGCCGACAAAAAGTATACGCCGTTTTCCGGCTCATGGTCTTTGTTTTGGTCGAAGTCATGATGTAGTCTGAAAGACGCGTGGTCTGCTGTATCATCGATGCTCCAACATTTTGATATTTGCCTCACTCTAGAGCTCGCAAAAAGATTGTTTATGCTATATTGAGAGCAAAGATGAGTTCAAACTGCTTCGCACTGCCTCATGTAAAGAAGTAAGCCAGGATAAAGGCACCTCGACACGACGGAACGGTGGAAGCATTTGTTGCTTACGCATTTATTGTGTTTTGTTTTTTAAATAACTTATGAGTGAATGAAAACGGCGGATAATTTTTGCTCAACCCAATAAAACAAAACAAAACAGGTTAGAGGCAAACCCCGGGATTAGCCCGACTAGTAAGGGGGATACCATGAGGAAAATTGTAAGGTCCGTACCTACTTAGATCACTCTAGCTTCGTCGCAAAATTGCGCAGTTAGAGGCGCTAATCCTTACGGGCCTGCAACCATCGACCCCGATTCCAAACGCTTCCCACCCACCGCGAGAGATGGTGAGATCAGCGTGCATTGATGTAGAGATCAGCGTGCTCTCTCAAACGACGTGCTCTCTCGCGTATTTTGTCTTCTTTGACCGCCCTGTCTCGCCATCGTACCACATCCGACCTTACTGAAGGTTAAGGCCTTAATTTCAGCGTTCTCAAGACTTCTCTTGCTTTCCTTCCCACTTTCAGGTCGTTCCGCAGCTAAGCTATCACCACGAAGCGCTAATAGCACCAGTTAATCCCGGGGTTTGCTTTTAGCAATCAGGAACACTTATCAATTGCATTTAATGTGGATCTCTTTGAGTTCACTCCTCTTTTATACTCGAGTGCCATCTTTAGTCTGATGCTTGAAGGAAGGGGTTTACAAATTTATTTATTAAACAAATAAAACGAATTCGAATTATACTGCAATACACCTCTCCCATACATCTGAACGTTCCAAAAATCTGTTTTCAAGATGTGTCCAACTTTCTAATAAAACAACGCCTCTATGAGTGTTTCTTCTGAAATGAAAAAACGCAACTTCGCCGTTTTCATCATTGAAGGAGTTCTTCGGCGAATAAATTCATTTCCCTCATCAGCCTGAAAGAGAATCTGATTATTGGAAAATAAGTTATCCTTTGCGAAAATTGAGAACAAAGTATTACCACCAAAACCAAACGGACCACCGAAGCCAAACGGACTACCAAAACCGTCAAATAGTCCACCAAGTCCAAATCCACTCATTGGACCACCGAATCCATTGAAACCACCGAAAAGTGGCGGTAGTGTTGGAAGACCTAAGATGAAACAGGTGTTGATGAACAAATATTAAGGAATGAATGTGCCAAAGAGATTTGAAACTAATGATACTTCTTCGAACACCTAAGGAAGATTCGGGATTTCAAAGAGGCGCAGGTAATCTTAAAATGACATACCCCATCCCATTCCGAACTGGGCTTAACTGTCGAAGCGCAGGCCAAAAGCAGCAGAGTGATGAAGAATTTCATCGTAATCTGAAATTTTCAGAACAGTACAGTAGTGTTATCACAAGGATCCTGATTTAAGAACGTTCGATGAAGTCCTTTCGCCTCCGAGTAAAACTGAGGTCGTTCTGCTACCGAGGAGTGTCTAACTTCGTACATGGCACTATTAGGAAAAACCAGCTTT